ATGTGTATTTATATGTGCTGTAAATAAATCCATGTATATAGTAGAGGATACAGGGCCCAAAGTTATGAAAATTTCTTCGCCATGACCAAATACATTAAGGGAATGAGTCACTGGACTTGGGGACTTAGGACCTGTAAAAAGTATATGAGGGCAGCTTTGTCTGGTCTCCTCTAACTTTACAAGGGGGGAGAAGGATTCACCATCAGCATCAACAGTCCAAGGTTGTTTCTAATGAGATGGAGGCCAGACATGCTGTCACCCTCCAATCTTTTTACCAATTCAGATACCAGCCATCCCTCACACACCAACAGCGTTCAACAATTCATTGCAATGGGGACACAGAACTCAGATGACACAATTATGGGGTTTATTAAGGAAGTAACAGGTTACAATTCACATCCAGGAACACTCAGGATACAAGTCTTCAATGAGGACAGCCTTTGCCAAGCCAGGTCAATAGACACACTTCTCTTTTGCCCCCAGGCCTCTGTTCTGCTTGGGCAGGTGTTACAAAGCTCTTTTAGCTCTGCAGATAGACAGATAGGGGCCCACAGAAGCACCTCACTCCATCAGCAAGCCTTCTGCCTGAAGGCACTCAGCTTTCTCACTCTGTTGGCAAGGAAGCTCACTGCTGTATCTCCTGTTGGCCTCTTTGTTCTGCTGCCTTTGCTGATGTGGTTTCTCTTCGGCCATCTCTCACCATTCTTGCCACCTCAGTAAAGTATTGCAGCTCTCTTTCTGTCCTAGATTGAGAAGTTCGGCACAGGGATCTCAGGTCCAAAGGATGTATTCAACTCCATGATCTTCTTTCTTGACGGTATTGATATTCTACTATTTTTCTTTTGGGATGGCTCCTTTCAAGCGTAGTGGATGTTAAAGCTAACCAATTCTCAGTTAGTGTTCCACACACTTTATTTTCATGGTTCCACCCCAACAAGGGTGCCATGAACCTTATTTGCATTATTAACAAGTTATCCAATCCCCTTGTCAGGCCACAAGCACCTCACATTTGCATAGTCCCAACCAGTCGTGTGGTGGAAATCACAAAGACTACAGGTAGAAGGGCCAAATTAATTCACTGCACCACAGGACCATAATCTTGAGGGACATTTAGGTCAATTAGCATAACACAGACCACAAAGACAATGCTCCATGTCCTACTTTGGTGAGTTAGCGACTGGGGTCTTAAAAGCTAGTGAGCAGCCATTTAAGATGCAACTATTGGTCTCTACCTATCCAGAGCAAAGAAGAGAGAAGAGAATTAAAGACATGAGGAAACAATTGATCCAAGCAGCTAATGGACCATACCAATCTCAGCTTCCACAACCCTAAGATCAGAAGAACCAGTTGGTGCCTGGCTCCAAGTACTGACCACTCTGAGAGAGCTCACAATAGAATAGCCTGGATAGAATGGGAGAAAAATGTAGAACAAAACTCAAAATTATAAAAGAAGACCAGTAAGATCAGGCTTACCAGCCTAATACAGATTGGTGGAACCCTAGAGTATGGCCCTTAGACACCCTTCCAACTTGGAACTGAACTCACACCCCCAGATCAACTTTCAGCCAAACAACAGACAGGAGTATAAAGAGAATCGTAACATCAGAGATAAATGCTTTCCTTAGAACAATCAAGCACAGGAGACCAACAAAGCAGCATTTGCCCCCAAACAGAGCTCAGAAGGCAGGAAAGAGCAGGGAAGAAGAATGAATGGAACCAGTGAACACTGAGAGGAAGCAGGAGGAGTGGTGTTACATTGTGGGGATCACAATCAATGTCATGAAACAAAATACTATAAATTATTGGGTGGATTTTTTTTTTTTTTTTTTTGCTTAGAAAGTGCAGCAAATTAAAACTAAGGAAATGAGACAACAGGTGAGATTACTCAAATCCATACAACTCTATAATCCTGAGTTTAAGTAAACATAAATATATCATTTTATTAAATTGCCACATTTGATATATTATGATACCTGAAGAAAGGGTAGAAATTTGCCCTTAAGATTATGAGGTATATAGCATTTTTCTTAATTTTTAAGAGAAAATTTTACAAAGCCATGTTTTCACCATTTAAAAAGTTTTCCTTAGATCTTCATTTGTATTAGAAATTTCTTCATGCTTATCTCTGAAATATATCTTCTTCAATAATTTGATAATAAAATATTATAAAATCATACCTGGAAGGTTAGGGGAGGATGCCCTTTGTGATGACCCTGCATGCTGATCTTTCTCACTGCTTGAATGTCCTTTTATACTAGTCTTTCCCACGTTGGGTTCTCTCTCATGAGAAAAGAAATACATATATTTATCCATGGTTTCAAATAATACATACATTTTAAAAGAATCCCCGATAACCTATATTAATCAATTGACATTCACCTCCATCTCAGTTCAACAGCCCACTCCCATTGTTATCATCTGGAACTCAGTCACTTCTGAGATAATTTTAAAATCCCCCTGTCTGATCACAAATGCTATCTTCTCCCACATTGACCTGGCTTGCAAACTAGCAGCCTTGGGTCACCCATAAGTCAGTTATACTGTTGTGGTTTGTGTGTTGTTTTGATGTTGGAAGCTTTGCCACTAATATTTCAAATACCAGCAGGGTCATTCATGGTGGAGAGGTTTCACTGAAGCTTCCAGACTAAGACAGACTAGAAGGAAGGATGTGGTAGTCTACTTCTGAAAACACTGGCCTCTGAAAACCTTATAAATAGTAGCTAAACACTGTCTGATATAGTGCCAGGAAGATGAGCCCTTCAGTTTGGAAAGCACTCAAAATATGTATATGACTAGGGAAGAGTTGTTCCTCAAAGTATAGTCAACCTTAATGACATGGATAGAGTTAAGACTTTCAGGACCATCATTTGCTATTGTGGTCTGACAAAATGAGGAGAAACAGCTGCAAACATCCATTAATAATCAGAATGTAGAATGGATTAAGTATCAATCTAGGAAAACTGGAAGCTGTCCAAATGAAATGGAATACATAAATATTGATATCCTAGGCAGTAGTGAGCTAACATGCACTGGTATTGTATATTTTGAATCAGGCAATCATATGGTCTACTATGCAGGAAACGACAAATCGAAGAGGAATGCCATCACATTCATTATCAAAAATTACATGTCAAGATTTACCTTGAAGTACAATGCTATCAGTGATAGGATGATATCTATATGCCTACAAGGAAGAACAGTTAATATGACTAATATTCAACTTTATGCACCAACTACTAACGCCTAAAATGAAAAAAAAAAAAAAAATACCAACTCCAGTAGTCCGAAACTGACCAAACATGCAATCCAGATGCATTGATAATCACTGGTGATTGGAATGGAAAAGTTGAAAACCAAGAAAAAGCATGCTAAATGGAAAATATGGCCTTGGTGACAGAAATAATGTCAGAGACCACCTGATAGAATTTTGCAAGACCAACAACTTATTCATGACAAATATCTTTTTTCAACAACATAAACAGAGACTATATATGTGAGCCTAGCCAGACATAATACACAGGAATCAAATCAACAACATTCATGGAAAGAGATGATAGAGAAGCTCAACATTATCAGTCAGAAAAAGGCCAGGTGCTACCTGTGGAATAGACCATCAATTTCTCATAGACAAGTTTAAGGTGAAGCTAAAGAAAATTGAAATAAGTCCATGAGAGCCAAAATACAACCTTGAGTATATCCCACCCAAATTTAGAGGCCATCTGAAGAAGAGATTTGACACACTGACACATATTAATGACCAAAGACCAGATGAGTTGTGGGATGATGGTGGGGACATTGTATATGAAGAAAGTAAAAGGAAAGAAAAAAATTACCAAAATGGATGTCAGAAAAATGCTGACATCTGCTACTGAATGGCCAATAGCAAAGCAAATGAAAGAAATGATGATACAAAAGAGTGAAAAGAAGATTTCGAAGGGTGGCTTGAGAAGACAAAGTAAAGTATTATAAAAAAAAAAAAAAATGTGCAAAGATCTAGAATTAGAAAACCAAAAGGGAAGAACATGCTCAGCATTTCTCAAGCTGAAAGAACTAAAGAAAAAAATTCAAGCCTTGAGTTGCAATACTGAAGAATTCTATGGGCAAAATATTGGATAATGCAGAAAGCATCAAAAGAAGATGGAAGGAATACACAGTCACTGTACTAAAAAGAACTGGTTGACATTCAATCATATCAAGAGGTAGCATATGATCAAGAACTGACAGTATGAAAGAAAGAAGTCCAAGCTGCATTTAAGGAGTTGACAAAAAAAGAAGGTTCCAGGGTATCCTTCCAGTAGGATGGCAGAATAGGCAGACAAGCTCCACAGACCCTCCTCAACAAAGAAAAGAGACACCAATTGTAAGAGATACAGAAGATAATCCTAGAGCCCTGAACTTTGAAAGGAAGTACACAGAAGTGGATTAGGCACCAAGTAGTGGAAAAACCTGAACAAAAACAGGACCTAAGAATAAGCTCCATTGGCCAAGGATGGCAGGGACTTATGGCATGCTGACAATGGGAAAGGAGACAGGTGGTAAGTGGATAAAATGCTGTGAACTAGTGAATAAAGGAGCACAGCACAGAACCCTGCTTTCATAAATAACATAAAAACAAAACAAAGAAAATGAAAATTGTGAACAAATCACTCCAACATACAATCACCAATTAAACATAAACACAAAAACATCACAATGCCTCAGAGAAAACAGAGAATCACAGTTCACACAAAAAAGCAAGAAAAACCAGGAGAAACAAGGGACCAGGATACAGACCCAAAACACATCCCTGATGAAGATGCAGCATTAGAACTCTCTGATAAGGAATTCAAAAGAATTATATTTAGGTACCTTCAACGAATTGAGAGACAGATCAAAGAAAACAATGACAAAATCAAGGAAAACATAGAGAAAACCCTAGAACAATTTTGAAAAAATAATATAAGAACAAAATGACAAAATAAATGAAAAATTAGAAATGATACAAAATCTACACACAGAAATCCAGAAGATTAATACTAAATTTTCAGAAATAGATAACTTACTGAATGGGCAAAGGAGTAGAATTGAATCAATGGAAGACAAAATTAGTGAGATTGAAGGCAGATACCTGAATACTTCTTTGGAAAGGGATCAATCAGAGAAAGATTAAAAAAAAAAAAAAAAAAATGAAGAAAGCCTAAGTGTTCATGTGGAACATCATCAAAAGGAATAACCTAAGTATAATTGGAATTCCAAAACAGGAAGAGACAAATAAAACCACAAAAAAAAATTGTTGAAGATTTCTTGGAAAAGAATTTTCCTGGTATGAAGAAAGATGAGAATATATCCATTCAAGAAGTCCAATGGACCTTAAACAGAATAGACCCCAAAAGAAAATCACCAAGACATACCATCATCAAACTCACCAAAACCAAAGCAAAGAAAGAATCCTAAAAGCAGCATGGGAAAAATGAAAAGTTACCTACAAGGGGCAACCAATAAGAACAAGCTCAGATTGCTCAGCAGAAACCATGCAGGTGAGAAGACAATAGGATGGTATATATAAAACCCTAAAAGAGAAAAATTTCCAACCAAGAATTATATACCCAATGAAACTGTCCCTCAAATATGATGGTGAAATTAGGAAATTTCTAGATAAGCAGAAATTAAGGGAATTTGTTAAAACCAGACCAACCTTACAAGAGATGCTAAAG